GGGGGAAGGACTTCTGAAATGGGGGTAAAGAAATTTTTAAGTACTTTTTTGAATTGAATCTAGTGATCTGAATTTTCAGATGGCCTCAAGCTGCCTTCAAAAATTGAACCTGCATATTTTGCATACAAAAAAACTGCATTTGGTGTGCCAATATGGAAGTTACTTCGCAAATTTTCTGATTTCTTGTGGAAGATTCCTGTGGGGAAAAATATGGTAATATAATTAAAGACCTTATTTTAATGTGTATACGACAAGGGGACCAACAATTAAGGTTGCACAAGCAACCTTAATTCTGGTACTTCCTAAGTTATGAGTGATTGAATTTGCAACTATCACATTCTTCTATTGTAGCTTTTGGTATCTAATTTCTTAGGTTTTTTTTAAAAATCAAACTGAAAAAACTACAGATTTCATCCATTGACTCCAAGATGATACATCAGCATGATTAGAACCTTTTAGATTCACAGCACAGACCTCTGCCTCTTAAGATATGAGAGTCACTGACAGCAGTAGTTGAGTGAGTATATTGATCAGCCACTAAAGGGGGATGAGATATAGTTATGAAACCTGCTGGCACAGTCTATTTGCTGACAGCAGAGGCATGCAGAGACTTGGGACTCCTGAGTTCTATTCCAGGTTCTGAGAGGAGTAACCTCTAATGGTTACAGACCAATGTTCCCTCTAATTTTTTCCATCCATGTGCAGAATGAATTTTATTATGTGCACCAATATCAAGGTAATGTATGGATGTGTGCCACCAGTAGAAACAAAAAACCTAGATATAATAGAAATATTTATTTTTAAAAATTTGTCATAGGGATAATTACTCCAGCCAGGACAAGTTAGGCATTTTAGAACTTAAAACTCAAAGAATTAAATTTAAGCATAAGAGAGAAATAAAAATTATGAAATGCATAGACCAGTCAAAAAACTAAAATAACACACTTTGAAAGAATAAAATTACAGAGAATATATGTGCATTGCAGGAAGTATCAAGAAGTAACAACAACAACAACATGCAAGTGTGAGAGAGAGACAGTGTGTTGTGTGTGAGAGGGAGAGAGACAATGTGGTGTGTGAGAGAGAGAGATGTGTTGTCCCTTTAAGTATGCTGCCCTTTTAAGTAGTTTGGAACTCACCAGTTTGAAGCCTGCTTGTTCAGCCAAGCAGCAACCGCCAGCAAGCTTCCTCCATCCCACTCCTGAGCCCTGTCATGTCCCCCTCCCCTGCTGTGCAGAGATAGGGTAAAAGGGCAAAGGAGGGGGGGAGGAGGGTACCCTGACGTCAGCATTCCCCTCCCACTCTGCTCTGCACAGCAAGCAGGAGGCTCCCGGGAGCAGCTGGCCAGGATCTCCAGGATCGGCAGGCAGCGATCAATCCAGCAGGGGTCGATTTATCGCGTCTAGTCTAGACACGATAAATCGACCTCCGAGTACTCTCCCATCGACTCCTTTACTCCACCGCCGTGAGAGACACAGGCGGAGTTGACGGGGGAGCGGCAGCCGTTGATTCACTGCAGTGAAGACACCACAGTAAATCGATCTAAGAGCTTCTACTTCAGCTACGTTATTTATGTAGCTGATGTTGTGTAACTTAGATCGATTTCCCTCCCCCCAGTGTAGACCAGGGCTCAGTTACCGACCTGTCTGCCTATGGCCTTCCTGCCCCACTTCCACCTTTGGCTCCTCATCCCAGCCACCCATACATGCTCTCTCCTCATCTAGTCAACCCGCTGCATTTCAGTCAGGGTGCCATGCCAGCCATCGCAAGGAAAGTCCTGCAGCCCCATACTGGAGCATGCTCAGTGCAGACAGAATGTTTGGAGAATTTAGCTTTCCAACTCTAACAAGTCTCTACTGAACATGTGTCAACTGAAGTTTTCATGGGGGCAGCAAAAGGCACATCCCTGATATCAGGCCACTCTCCCTCCCCTGCCTAATTTCAAGCCTCTGTTCCAAATCACGGAGGCTCTAGAGCATTTTAATGAAACTGTAAGAATATTTCAATATGGGCAAAACAATACATTTCCCCCTCGACTCATTCTCAGAAACCGCTGAGCACTTTTAGCTGAAATTAAATAAAAAAAAAAAAAAAAAAGGCAGCCTGAAACAGACACAAGGCATGGAAAAACTTCACGCCAAGTGATTGAGCAACCGTAACTTTAGGCATAGTTACCCACATTGCCTAAACTAATGACTCCAGGTAACAGCAGAGTCCCTTCTACCACAACTATTAGAGACACCTTGCTCAAAAAGGAAAGATTTGAGACAAGATGGTAATTGGGAAGAGTATCAGTGTCAAGAGAGGGTTTCTTGAGAGGAGTCTGAAAGTGGCACACATAATGGAAGCTTTTACCTTATCTTCCTACTGGAGATGTTGACATTTTGCTTACAAACAATTTTTGCATAATGACTGGAGTAGGTCTGAGCAAATATGGCATGGAGAATTGTTTTGTAGTGTCATAAGACACTCAGACGTGGAAAAGGAGAGTGCTCTGATGGATGTATGGCTAGATAGCGATTCTGCCTAGCTTTCATATTAAGTGCAGCCTGATTTATAGGAATTCCGTATATGACTGATAGGCATCTGGTATCAGTCAACAATGCTGGCCTGCAAGAAAATAGAATAACATTTCCTGTGTTTCATTTCTCTTTCCCTACTGCCCTTTATAAGGATTCTGTGGTAGAAAGAAAGTTCCTTCATGGTGAAACTGCAGAAAAGCCAAAGCTCAGACTGTCATGTTGCATGGAAACCTATCTAATCCTAAAAATATCTTTATAGAATTGGCGCATGTAGTCCAGTGCTATTTTACACAGATGTTTGTGGTTTCTCTATTAGTGAAACTGAATAGATTACTTATATCATTGTATCATGCTTACGTTCTATCTGCACCAGCAGACAGTTATATATGGAAATTTGGTGCAAATTTAAAAATCTTTATATGTATGTACATATACAAAGTATGTAGCACATCTGTGGAGGTGACAGCTATGTGACAAATTGGAAAGGTATGTGACAAATTCATTTATCATACATTCTTGATAGCCTGAACTACCTTAGTCCACAAATGCATCCACAGACCCCTAAGCCACTTCAAATGACTGCCATATTATTTTAAAAGGGAACTCCCTGCAGCAATGTTTCCATCTGTAACCCTTACCCATATGTCTGGATGGGCATATATCAGGATGGCCGGGCATAGTGTTTTTGTGAGAGTCCTGGGGATTGTTTGGTTGGAGAAGCTCTCAGTGGAGGTTGGCTGATAGCTTGAGTTGCTATACATTTTTTGTAACTTATGTCAAAAGTGCCTAGAGCTTTGGTCACCTTTTACAATATATTTTACGAATCAAAATAAATGTGTGTTCATGTGTATAACCATTGAACAGTGCAGAGAGAATTCCTAGAGGGACTCTCCATAACAGTGGTTACTGTAGAAGTAGTTGGTTAAAAGTCAGTTGTATACTGTAAAATTTCTTAGAAGTACACTGATTGCATTTACTTAATTATTCTTGGCATTAGTATAAGTAAAAGTTCATCCATAAAACACTCTGACTTTCTCAATCCACTTGAACCTTAGCCTGTTTTGGCGTAATGTTCTGAAGCTGGGAGAGATGCTTTGTGATTAGATTCTGTAATCCAAAAGGGATTATACCATTGTCTCATTCAAAGTTTCCTGCTGTTGCAATATATGTTATTTCAGAGGAATGAGAAGTAATTCCCTATCAGACTCTTGTGTAGAGATTGTTGCCAGGGAACATCATCCTGTGTTAGTGAGGCATTCTTTCACTGCTGAAGTTAAGGCATTACATCTATTAAGTCAGTTTTCAATATGTTTTTAAACTTTAAACTCAATTCACTTCAGCCAGAAGTTATATTTCCCAGGAGTGAATATTTATCTTTCCAAAACCAATTGTTGGTTAAAATGCTATGGCCATGTTAAAGTTGTGGCACAGACAATTTTTGACATTCTAGACAGTTAACATCTCCTTCAGAGCTCTTACATCTCTTCTCTAAAATCCTCTTAGTTTGCAGATCACTGATCCAGTGGACAGTAATGAACCTATGCCAATCTAGCTGCAGTATTACTTCATGAAGTCTGCATACCAGAGACCCTCGACACTTTTTTTGATGGTCATTGTCACCACATGTACTGCATACCCTATCTCTAAATATGTTGGTGGATACCTTTTTCAGTTGAAATGTTTGAAAGCAATTGTCTCCTGCTCAAAGCTGTTACTCAGGCTTTGTGTAGGGTAGATTTCATCTGCAGTGTGTAGCCAACCTAAGATATTCACAGCTATAGTATATTAGAATTAAATACTTTAGTTATAAGGATCAGAAAGAACTGGATAATATTGACAAATATTTACTTATAATAATTTAAGGGTCTTCCTAAAACTCTAAACTCATATGTTATTTATTTTAAAATTTCCATTTGACTAGTGTAATTATGAAACTACATGGTGCTGGAGGTTGGCACAGTGATGGGGGTAGATGGGTGGTGGTGTTTTATATTGTGGTAGCATGCAGGGAGGGGCTCCAATCATAGACCATGGCCTCACTGTGCTTGGCATTGCACAAAAGTGTTATAAAATCACTGTGTCTGCCTGGGGGACCCTACAATCTAAGTACATATTTACTAGTTACACATCCTAAAATAAGGTTAATCATGGTTTTCATGCTTAAGAGTTTAAATTGATCACTAAAGATTACTAGGCATGCAGTGAGGGGCTAAACCTTTCACTTAGCATTAGTTATTAGTCACTAGCAGATATAGGACACCAGACTTGATTAAACCAATGGTCTGAGCCAGTATGGCAAGTACTGTGGTCCTCGATTTATGCTTGTCTTAAACTAAAAAGCAGAACTCTGAAAATCTTTAGACAACATGGGGCATATCTACCCCATGAATGCTTGTACCACAATAGGTAGAAGCACCTTGTATGACTTATCTAGTTTGATATTTTCATATAACTGTCCTTTTCTGATTGCATTTTTAGGTTGTAGTGGTCAGCGGACATCTGGACAGCTGGGATGTTGGGCAGGGAGCCATGGATGACGGTGGTGGAGCATTTATATCATGGGAAGCATTATCTCTTATTAAGGATCTTGGTAAATATTTATTTAAAGAAATGTTCTAATGTGTAAGGTTCTAAGACTCTCAGTGTAATTTTTTTAAACTGAAGATAGTCATCAGCTCTACCATTCTGAGCACAAATAGTCACCATCCAGAAAAATATTCCTAAAGATTTCCCTCTTATGCCACCTTCTTCAGAAGACTGAACAAATTAGTCACCTTCCCAAAATAAAAAAGAGTGCATAAAGAGTGCTTTGAATATTCATAGCCATCACCAAAATATAATGAAAGTTTGTAAATAAATGTATGTTAGAATAAGGACACTCTGTGATATGTATATTGTTGGCTTGACAGCTCAAATAATTAGAATACAATTTTCTAACTGTGTATGCACCATTTAAGTGGGGGGACAGATCCATTCTGAACAGTAAAACCTACAGTCCCACTGCTGGTAAAGTGAAGGAACAACATTCATGGGGTCTGGCTGTGATTGTCCTGGACACTAAGCTTTGGGAAAGATAGTAAAAAAGTGAATGAACTATTGACAGTACCCCAGAGAGAAACTCTATAGTGCTTTACAGTGTTGTTGTAGCTGTGTCAGTCCCGGGATATTAGAGAGACAAGGTGAGTGAGGTAATACCTTTTATGGGACCAACTTCTGATGGTCAGAAAGACAAGCTTTTGAGCTACATGGAGCTCTTCCTCAGGTCTGGGAAAGATACTTAGGCACTACAAAGTTTTGTTGACAAAAAAGTCAGCTTTCATCGACAAAACAGTGGAGTTGTACACACTGCAATGTTCCTTCTGCCAACAAAATTCTCCTGCTTTGCCGACAAAATAAAATGATAGGCATAGAGCTTTTTGCGGCAAAGTTGTATCAACAAAGTGTCTCTGTAGACACTCTGCTTGGGGATGTCGCTATAATTGGCCTCCAGGAGGTGGTCCCACAATGCCCATCCTGACCACTCTGGTCAACAGTTTGAACTTGGCTGCCCCACAGTCAGGTATGCAGGCATCAGCGCCCCTGCTCCCGTACCCCACTTAAAGGCCCAGGAATTTTTGAAATTCCACTTCCTGTTTGCTCAGTGTGGACAGCTCACATTGCATCTTCCCTGCTAACCATGGTGGCTCCACACAGCAAGTGCTCTCCCACTTGGAGCACACCTGAGTTGTTGGATCTGCTGCCACTGTGGAGAGAGGAGGCTGTGCAATCCCAGTTCTTCTCCAGCCGTAGGAACTTCAATACCTACAGTCAGCTTTCTCTTGCTTGTTGGATACGGGCTAGGAACGGGACACGCATCAGTGCCATGCAAACATATTGGAGCTACCCACAGTGCACTGCTCTCTGTCAGTGCTAGAGTACCAACTGTGGACATGCTCCACCAACAAAAGGAGCATTGTGTGAACATGCACAGGTGTTGTAATTATACCAGTTTTTGATTGTCTGCTTAACTTGCCTTGACAAAACTCTGTAGTGTAGGCAAAGCCTTAGTATCAGCTAAATGCACTATCAAACAGATAGTTTAACATAAGTAGTTTGAACATATTCTAAGGGACCATTCAGGGTGAAGTGTTAACACCTCTGTAGTCATAGGACAAAGAGGGGAGTGAGTGGTTACAGATCGTTGTAATAAGCCATAAATGCAGTCTCTTTGTTAAGACCATGATTTGATGCTGGCATGGGTATGTTCCAGAGAGAGTTTAATGGACAGGTGGTGGTGGTTAAAATTTTGGTGGAAATCTGAGGGAGTTTGTCATCTGTCCAGAGGATGAAAATATCATCGACATATCTCAGGTATATCGTTAGTTTTGTGGTGCATTTTTCCAGAAATCCTTCTACAAGGTGGCCCACGAAGCGCCTGGCATATTGGGGAGCCATCCTAGTACAAAAGTGTTTGTTGTTGAATGTAAAATTGTTGAGAGTGAGGATAAAATGGATGAGTTTGGTGATGTGTTTGGGGTGGATTTCTGAGGCTTGTCCATTGTCTTTTAAATATTTGGGGCAGGCAGCGATGCTGTAATTGTGAGGAATGTTGGTGCAAAGAGAAGTGACATCCATGGTGGCAAGGATAGGATGGTGTTCTGAGGGAGGTTGTTTATGTTGCAGAATTTGTGGAGGAAGTCGGTTGTGTCCTGGAAGAAGCTAGCCCTTTGTGTGATGACTGGTTTGAGGGTGTGTGGTGGGGGTGCTTTACTCACTGCTAGGATGGAGCCTCCTCTTAGCTGTCCTGGGGATTAGCGACGCCCCTTCCTGCGGTTGCACCCCATCTCTCTGCCTCTCTCTCTGTCTGCAGCCCCTCTTTCGCTCCAGGAGCTGCTGCTGCCTCTTCGTGACTTGGCCCTCTGGCCAGGTCACTCAGAGGTTTCCCCTTCTGGGGTATAACAGTCTCTTAAGAACAGATTCAGGCAGTTTTCCTCTGGTGCGGGAACTCAGACCCATCCTCTACTCTGAGTTCCAGCTCAGAGTCCCTCTAATCAGCAGCCAAGGTCTATTCCCTCCTGGACCTTGCTGCCACTTTCCCTGAGCCTTGCCTACATGTCTGGCTTCCTCCCCACTCTGGGTTTACCAGCCTTCCAAGTCCTTCCTTCCAGGGAGTAACTGTAGACTACCTGCTTCTGTGTAAGGGACCGGGGTGTAGGTGGTCAGGCCTAGCAGTAACAGCTGGGCGGAGGTCTGCCCCCCAGGGATGGGAGTTTTGGGGCAGGAGTTGGAGGAATTGCAAGGCCAGGTCCCATAAACAAGAGTCAGGGTCAGAGTCAGGATGGGGTCGGAGATCAGAGGCAGTACCATCTTAGAATCGATAGGGAGGAATCAAGGTCAGAGTCAGGCTGAAGTCGGAGAGTGGATATCAGAGACAGTACGGGGCTAGAATTGGAGGCAGGAGTCTGGATTGAAGTCAGGCTGAAGGGAGAGACTGGAGACCAGGCAAAGTCTGGCATTGCAGCAAGCCAAGATCTGTATGGCTGCCCACACAACTTCCTGGAGTAACCCCTGTGGTTAAGTAGGGACACTTGACCAGTCAGAGGGCCGCAGGGTACTGACACTCTGGGTCTTGTGGGTGGTACTTCCTGCAGTGCCTACTTTCCACAGTGCTCCCTGGCTGTCCTTCTGCATGGCCTTCCAGTGGCACTGCATGAATATCAGACATCCCAGGCTCTGCAGATCTGGGTTGTAGTTCCTGGGTTCTTACACTCTGTAGTTTCCAAACACACAATCCTTTCCCCCAGGGAGTGACTGGAGCCTACTTCTCTGCTGCCTCCATCTGTTATCAGCTCCCAGACTTTATCAAAGCCCCACCTGTTCCCTCACAGGTGGGCTTCTTTGTAATCAAGGCTCTCTACTCAGCCTCAGTCTTCCTCATTTGCTGCCTAATTGGGTGATTGGGCCCACCTGGCCTAATTTAGCCCTCTCAGGACTAGTGTGGGGAGTATATCCCATCACAGAATGGTTTCTATGAGTCCTAGTATTCCTTCAGTAAGAGTGTTGTGGCCCAATATAATGGGTCGCTTGGGTTCCCTTGTCTGTGTATCTTGGGAAGCATGTAGAAGGTCACTGGGGTGGGCTTGTGGGGGATGAGGTAGTAGAATTTCTCCTGGAATTGTTTGGGGAAGGATTTGGTGATAGCCTTAAATTCCTTGGTAAATTGTGGTGTGGGGTCTTCTTTGAGTTCTTTATAGTAGGTGGTGTGGGAGACTTATTGGTTGGCTGCATTCACGCAGTCATCATGGTTGAGGACTACAATGGTGCCCCCTTTGTTTGCTGGTTTGATCGCTGTCTGGTGGTTAGATTTCAGGGACTGTAGAGCTGTCCTCTTGGAGGTGGTTTTATTTTTTCAGCAGGAGAGAGCTCAACAAAGAGCAGCTACACTGTATATCTCACAGCGACAAGGCGTTAGCAGCACAGCTGTGCCACTGTAAGCTGTGCCATGTAGACATAGCCTGACTCTTAAGCATTCTTCCCAAACCTGAGGCAGAGCTCTGTGTAGCCTGAAAGTTTGTCTCTATCAGCAGCAGAAATTGGGCCAATAAAAGATATTATCTCGCCCACCTTGTAACCGTATAATGCTGTCATTTGTAAAAGATGGTGTTTCTGTGCTTTGAAAACTGTGACATTCCGCTACAACAGAAGTTCTGAGTGCAAAGAAAAGGAAATTATGAAAGTAGCCGTGCCCATGGGTACTCATCTGAAAAAGTGACTCCAAAATGGTGTCTGTAGTTCCACCATTCAAGATGCTTGAAAATAAAACAATACAAAATCCCCTTTGCTGAAATGCCCTTACACTACTTCAATCAGGTTCAGCCTCAGAACTGTTGGAAATGTGTTTGTTGTCAGATTCAGAAAGTGCTGTTTAGTTTTATGTATGTAACCCTTCTGCCCGTCAGAGTTGGCAGCAACAAGGGCCGGGTTCAATATCTAGGGGATCCATTCCAATAACACAATGCAAACCGGCTCGAGCCCCCACCCAGTGACCTGGGACAAATATATACCACCCCCGCTGGGCGCCTCCAAGAGGCAATACTTCCCCTCTCGCAAGCACATAGTCTGAGTGTAGCAAAAAGCCTTTTAATAACAGAGAGAAACAAAGTGGCATTATGTTGGGGAAACACCACCAACAGGATTCATAACACAACCCATGAGCAAAAAAACCCACCCCAAGCAAATTGGGGCATGCCCCTTTCCCTTTGGTTCTTGAGTCCAGCAACCCAAAATCACCCAAAGTCCCAAAAGTCCAATGACCCAAAAGTCTCTGTCCCTGGTCAGGGCAGCCCCAGAGTTCGAAAGTTTATCTGCAGAACTTTACCTCCCACCCTGGGTGGAGATGGAACGGGGGGTAAGAGGCACCTTACATGATCTGAAGCTGACCGCCCCACAGTTCCATAGGCCTTCGCTTCGCTCCGCCAGCTGCCCCACGAACTCCTTCGCTCAGCTCCGCTCCACGGCCCACAAGCAGCTCCCACCGTCCCACGAACTGCTCCACCAGCCGGTCCACAAACTGCTCCGCGTCCCACCAGCAGCTCCCGCCGTCCTACAAAC